TTTTAAGACTTGTTCCGTTTCCATTTGTTGCCCACCTGGCCGAGGGCATAACTCCTGACACAAAATGAAATGAATTATTTCTATTCTGTTCATAAAAAATAATGTTATTGCTTCCATATTACTGACCCAGTGCCGTAGCATAGTTCTTGAAAGTGTGGGGTTCGGGGTGGGGCATGGGTTTAGGTTCCAACTTCTAGTGCCAAACTTTACTCAAACATACCACACACCCTTCATTTACTATACCACAACAAAAAGTTTGGGTGTAACCAAACTTTCAATAATCATTTTCTAGAGTAAAAAAATTACGTCTTGAAAAAACTGGCAAACCCCTTCCCCTGATGCTACTTGCCTGCTATCAGCAATGTTGCAAATATAGCTTCCAGGAAATTGTTTAGAGTCTAATGCATTGTTTCTGAAATTTTAAAGGGACCAGAGAAAAGATTTCTCTTCAGAGACTGCACGTCCAGATCACCAGGCGCAGACGCCATTTTTTCACTGAGGGACAACAGGAAAGCTGTGTCAAATAGTGATGTCACTATAGTTACAAATAAACCATTCCTGCTAACAAAGGAATGTAAAATTAGGTCAGGGTGGAATGCTGCGTATTGTCCTTTTGTGTATGGAAAGGTAATATTTCTTCAGTGCAATGTTTCTTATTAGCATATTTCATGTTGTTTAGACGTGTATCAGCTTATTAAAACAATAATGACCGGTCGGCAGGGGATGCTCACTCCTCCATGGCACCTGATCCCACCTCCGATGTTTCGTAGGTCCGTTTTTTGCGCTGCTCCTAATTTGTAGTGTTTTTGGTTTTTTTTAGCTTTAATAATGGTCGTTATCTCAATAAATTTCACAATATGATATTTACCAGAAGTTCTTCAAATATTTCTGCACATTTTTAAATGAAACATATGAATCAAGATAAATAAAAATGTTTTGTGATAATTGTGTTCTTTTTGACGAACAGTTGTATATTGAATGAAAAAGTATATAAATGCCGTTTTTGTATTGCAAAATACAAATTTTGTATTCTTTGAATTCTTTACGTGGGAAAATATTTAAGGATTGTAAAGAGTAACAAATATCAAAATTTTCCCCTTCAGGTACTCGTGACATATAGTGATCGTTTCAACAGCGATATGCATGTGTACAGGACGGACGGTAACCTGCCCTCATTACACCTAGGCCTGGATATCGAGAAACATTTCCTCCCGATTCTGGGAGGATCTCACAGCTACCTTGTCAGGATAGCAGGGACACTTCCGTCCACTGTCAACTTCGACGCTAAAGCGATTTCAAAGTGAGATTTACCACAACAATTTTAAAAGTTTTAGTTTATTAGTTTATCCCATAGTTCTAACCTCAACATATTGCATCTCATCTCAAAGTACATCTACGCTTAATTCAAATATTTCGATAACAAATGTTTTATTTTAAGGAAAAACAACGTGGTTATAGCGTTTTGCGTCCCACGAAACGCTGAAATTAAATTTGAGTACCGAATGGAAGATTTTAACAAACGGCCAGTCCATGCAGTAAGTTCGAGACAGGAGGTGGTTGAGAGCGACACTGTTGGTACTTACTTTTATGACAGTGTCCTGAAACATTAATGGGTTGGATTGGGTAAGCTTGTCATAGACAAGAATACAATACAAAATTTTTTTAATTTGTGTTTCAAATACATCACACATGGCAATATACACCATTTATTAGTCCGAAAACTGCCACTAATAAATGTCACTGCTTTAATAAACTTTTATATTATTTTCAGAGTAATCTTTTTCAAATTGATACACGAAGTTGATTACGGAGCCGATGAAATCGCCCCTTGTCCTAACAACGTCTGCCCGCGTGCTAGAGTTCTAGTGACGTCAGGAGATCTCACCGACTCTAACTGTGTCAGTCGGTTTAGCGCTGTGCCGGAGTACATCCAACCATCCTCGGTAAGATAAAACAACCCAACAATCAGCTATAAGATTTAATTGAATTATCAAAGTTGTTGTAGACAATTTTACCGAGTAATTCAATATTTCCTAATTTGTTATGCATCACTGTTTTGTTCAATTAATAAGCTTGATAAAAGATCGGCATAATTATACCACCTGATTATTTAGGGTACTCCCAACAATGATGATTCTACTTTACTGGCGACTTCTCAGGACCCACCAGAGGTAAGCTGCGGATTATTTCATTTATCTGTTATAAACGTAACACAGATATGTCATGAAAGTGTTTCTCAAACGTGTATACTATTTAGCAAAATATATTTAATGGTGTCTTTGTAATAAAAGTGTGCATATGAAAAGAATATGTCAAATTTGGTATATTTTTATTGTAGACAATAGGACATGGTTCAACGTATCCATTCTAAATTAACAAAGGCTTTCCTTGAATACCATGTGAAGAACACTATTTTCTAATAAAGAACTTTTATCTCACTCTTATTTGTCAGTTTGTAAATGTACAAAGTTTTTCATCAAATAAATGAACCTTTTTGCATTATATATTTTGTTGCAATATTCTTAACATTATATTCTCATTTTTTTTCAGTAATATTTTATTAATTGAATGTGTAGTCAAGTTTGCAAAATGATATGTAGGCATATAAAAACTTGAAAGCATTTAGCGTATCACTTATATGTAGCAAAATCTTATGAACTGATTAATTCGATGTCTAATTGACGTTTGTATCCATTGCAAAATAAATCCCTAACCAGTGTAATCGGTTTATGTAAGTTTTCTGCATGGGTTGCAATCGTTTATCTTGCATAAAAATCAAGAGAGACATTTTTGGTTGCATTTGTAAGACTCGAAAGTCCGATGGTTTGCGCTTAACACCAATGGTTGGATGTCTGTACAGACACAAATTCTAATTGACAATCAAGATTAAACTCAATATTATTTAAAAAAATCTTTAAAATACGAATGAAATATATATTCAAGCGTAAATTTTAAACATAAATTAGAATTAGAGTAATTGACCAGGCAACCAATGCATTTTTTTTCATGCAAAATATTGAATAAATGAAAATCTGGAAAAAAAAATTGAAACAGCGTTAAAAGGCCTGTACACTTTTCAAAAAAGAATAAAAATAATTATATCAGGCTTCTATTAAGGCAAATAATTGTATGACGTCAATGAAACATATGGAGATAACGAAAAGTATTCAAGAACAAAAGTCCATTAAACAATACAAAATAGGAGCAGAGCAAACACGGACCTCCAAAACATCAGAGGTTGGATCAGGTGCCATGGAAGAGTGAGCATCCCTTGCCGACCCGTCACACCCTCTGTTTGCTCCTTGTCATGATCGGGAAATAACGGAAAAATCCGTCGTCAAATCATTGTAAATATACATGTAATGGACAAACAATTTGTCAATAATTTAGTTTTAGAAGTTGTCTATACAGTATCGAATCAACTAAGAGATGTAAACTCTGTATGCAGGTAATGAAGGTATATTGCTGCATAAGTAAGGGAAGTTGACAGTAGAGGAAAGTAAAAGCCATCACGTTTATCATATAGCTTGGTTGTTAGATTACCATTAACGTCTTTTCAAGTAAAATATCCAAATATAAGACAGATGTGTCAGACTCTGTGGTATCTTAATTTTATGCTCATTGAGATATATCTAATCGACATAAGAATGGAAATAAGAGTTGTTGAATGACAATACGTGGTCCATATATCTAAATGTCGAGTTGAAGGCCACGGTAAGTGTTTTCTTCCTTTCACGCATAAGATTTTTCACAAATTCTACTTCATGTGAGTACAAAAATAGGTCTGCTAAGAACTCTTATTTCCTAACATACATATTTTCTACAACATTTACGTTTTAAACATAAAAAAGTATATTAAAATTGTATGGAAAGGTTTTTGTATAATTTTTTTTTAAAATTTTATATCCCAAAGTTAATCGCAAATTGGTTTTAACATTTAAATTAAACATGCAATTTCTAGAGCAAAACAAGTATTTCTCATTCGTCAGAATCTTTTGCAATTGATGACGACTTGTTTAGAAATAACATCATGAAATAGGGAAAACGCGTGTAATTGCATGTTTTATTGCTTACATAAGAACTTCATTTTCACCTTTTAAACTAATATGACATTTGCCGCAAAAAGGAAATGAAAGAAAAATGAAAAAAGGTACACAAGACGAAAAGGTCTTATAGGAGAAATTATCCCCTTTTGAACCGCCACATGTAAACCCACCCCGAGACCTATGTATTGGGTATGTTGACGCAATATTCTGTTATAAAATTCAGTTTAAAAATAATTAGTTTGAAACATATCACGTCCTCAAAATATGACCTTATTGCAAATATGGTCATTTTAACGAGAATAAAGATTGCTTACTAAATTTAATACGCTACAAAATGAAATATGGAAGTGTAAATTTAAAATAATGTTGTACAAAAGCAAAACCTTATGATTGGCATTTTTTATGAGAAAGTTATCTTTTTAAAAGACTTACAAATAATTATTATCAACAGGTACATATGCTGCTACAACACAACGTAAAAAGCATCACCGACTTCATGGCGTGTTTCATCATACCCAAGTTGACAAGGACAAGTTTATCATGTGTAGATTTTAAATTGTTAAAACCATGACCCCAGGGGTAGGACGGGACCACAATAGGGAGTTTTTTTTTCCATTGCAATATATAGGAAAATTCTTTTAAAATCTTCTCAAGAACCAATGGACCAGAAAAGCTGAAACTAATGTGGAAGCATTCTGGGGTAGTGTAAATTCTAACTTTTTAAAATCATGACCCTGAGGCTACAATAAGGAATCCAAGAGTTACATAAAAATATATGATTTTTTTTTCAAAAATCTTCTTCTCAAGAACCATTTTGTACATAAAATTGATTTATAGTATCAATTGAGGAAGAGAAAGACACACTAGTCCGATTTATCACAATCTCTCTGAGTAGAGTAAGGTCACAATATTGCAACAAAATCTTTTTCTGTGAATAAAAAACGAAAACATTTTGAAGAACAAAAGGGCCAATGTGACATAAGTAACTATGGGCCATTTGTTCATATATCTTCCTGGTTAGGTTTCGCAGTATATATACATGGAAACGTCTGGAAAGGAAGCACTCCGATTGATTACTACAATGTGGCTTTTAATGGTTTTCCCAATCTTAACTGGTGCAGTCGGAATGAGTGAAGACTGCGGAAACGTAACATTATGTGGCCATTTACCTTGGTCAGAGTGGAGTGCTTGCAGTGAGACCTGTGGGGGAGGGTATCAAACCAGAAAACGAAAAATTTGTGGATTGGAAAAGTGGAATGAAGAAGCTTTAAAAGAAAACTGCGGAAATCCACTTCGGATAGATATCAAAATTTGTAATATGAATTGTCTTAATAATGGTTCATTTGTTAACGGAAATTGCATATGCACTCCCTGGTCCGGAAAAACTGGTAGATGCTGTGAAGAAGGTAAGAAAATACAGCTCCATGGATTCGTGTTATGATAACCATGAAAATCTCTAGTAAATAACATCTTTTGTACCAAGGAAAAGATAAAATAAACATTATTGAATATAAAATCACTGAATGATAAAGTAATTTATTGTAAGTTATTTAATGCGCCATTCAAGATTTGATTACCATATTCGGGTAAAGGGGCACAAAGAAATACGCACGATAACTCTCGATTCAAGCCTACATTTGGAAACTATTTAATTCAATATAAATGACAATTTGGCCATAAAATCTTTGTTTTATACAAAGAACAGTTTAATAGTAAAATTTTAAGTGAAATTTCCATCGAAATCGGACTTTTAAGCATCACCATTTTTTGAAATTGTCTTGGATATGATTAAATGTTCCTCATATCTTTTTATTTTATTTTTTAGGCAAAAAAAATATTAACATATTAATAAAATTTGATGTTTCAGTTGTATATCGCTTTGAAATTGGTGGAAAATTAGCATTTTGTCGGTTTTTGTGAATAAACATATCCCCCCTCCCCGGTGAAACACAATAAGCTTTGGCAGGAATTTGTGAAATAACAGTCCATATTACCGGTAAAAAGAAATTTTTAAGTCGCAGGGGGAAAGATATTTTAAAAATATTTTCCGTTGATTTCTATGGTGAAAAACACACATTTTACCAAAAGTTTAGAACTATCTCTCTTTGTTTTCAGAAATAAGTAATGTTTTATGAAATCCATATGATGATCTATAAAAAATATCATAAAAAATCATCGAATATGTTAAATTTTGAAAATTAACTTGGAGGTAGGCGGGAACACAATGTGCAGTTCTTTAATTTGCCCTTACGGCAGTTGAATATTGAGGATTTCTTTCTGTGTCAACACCTACCGTGCTTCGACACCCCAACTTTTAACGTCCTAATTAGATGCTTGGCGAAGGAATAGCATTAAACTTTGTTATACCCCCCGCTTGAAAAGCGGGAGGGTATATAGTAATCGGTATTTCCGTCCGTCTGTACGTCAATACTAACCATTTCGTCCGTCCGTCTGTTCAAACGCTTTCGAACTTTTACCCTTTTCGATATATAGGATTATGTTATCCGCAACTCCTCTCATACCACTGAATGAAATTTGATGAAACTTTCACAGAATCTTTATTACATATTGCCATTGTGCACCTCCTATTTTACTTTTTGATCTGACATATATTTTGGACTTTTCCAGAGCAAAACATGGATACTGCCAATATATTCATATGGGAGGCGGGGGGTATCATTTAGTGAGCTCATTGCTCACAGTACCTCTAGTTTTTAACTAGAGGTACTGTGAGCGATGAGCTCACTAAATGATACCCCCCGCCTCCCACATGGTTATAACTGGTGAAAAAGTCCATGTTTTCCTGTGGCCGGAAAACCCAAAATATGTGTCGGATCAAAAAGTAAAATAGGAGGTGCACAATGGCAATATGTAATAAAGATTCTGTGAAAGTTTCATCAAAATTCATTCAACGGTATGAGAGGAGTTGCGGATAAGAGATGGGTACCCCAGAATAAAGTCTTATATTCCCCCCAAGTAAATTGAAACAGACGAATATAAGAACAACGGAATCAAACAGTAATTTTTTTTGTTTATATACCCTCCCGCTGGAGGAACGTGTTACAATTTAATTGATAAATTCACATGCTCGTGCCATGTATCTACATGTTTCAAGCGGGGGGTATAATGACGCTACGCGGCAAACGAGAATGGAATAATCTTACGATCTCAAAACAAATCTTATCATTACTCTCGTTACAATACTATCTTATCATTCTTAAGGAACATAATTAATTCAAATCTTTCTTTTTTTTTCTTTTTTTTATAAAATGGAGTCTGGTACGGTTGGCTTCTATTAAACATTTATTAAGGACATGGAAATGTATATCGACAATGTTTGACATGTGTGCAAGTCAAAAAATCTGTTTTAAAAGTTGTTTTTGCCGATCATGTCATTTTAGTGCAGTCTTGTTTTTCCAACATAATACTGAAATGCTCTCTGAAGATTTAATCTAAAAATTAAAAAGGAAATATCACGACACTTAAGCTAAAATATTATAAAGAACATACACGTCACTATCTCTAAGGCTTATAATAAAAACAGCAATACCTTCATTCTGTCTCTTAAGTAGATTGTGTTGTGTTTATTCTATCATAACCTACCTATGTTTAAAATCTTTGTGAATGATACTGTATCCATTTACTTAACTTTAATTTTAGGTTTTATTTTCTGTTCATCTTTATTGAATTTGTACAGCTCAGTTTTTTGCTGTTTTTTAAACTACTCGTAAATCTTAAGGGTTCTGTTTTTTTATTGCATTCGTTTTTCAATATTGTTTCTGGTGAAATTATTAATAAGAAAAAAATTGTATTGTAGATCGTTTGTCCCTAGAGAACCTAATGACATCAAAAGAGATAGCATCGGCATTTTTAAGAAACAGGGCTCCCCGAACTAAGCGTAGTGATTATAATATTTACGAGGAATGCCGGGAAGTGGGATCCTGTGAATACGAAGAAGCAAGAGAATGGGTTAATTATAAACGTGACCGAAGAAGCGTGGTGAGTTTTTTTTTTAACCAGACGAGTCTAATGAATCATTACACTCCATCTTATCTAATATATGAAAACTTTCCCGTGAAAAACATCAGCCTTCCAACAGTAAATGTTGTCAAATGTCTTAAACAACAGTTTGATGATTTGTTTCTGTCAAAAACGTCCTCCATATAAGTGAGTCCCAATAAAATGATATTATAAAAAGCAAACAGAAAAACACTAATGATATTCTCAAATTAACTAAAACGATTTTGTATGAAAACTTTACTAGTGTGAGTGGATGAAAGACAAGCGGTGTGAAGAAACAAGTTGTAGTGCAGGATATTATTGTGTTACCATAGTCGGTAACTGTGATCGTCTTAGCACTTATGAAGTTGGATGTCAAGGTATGTGTATTATCATCATTGTGTTAATTCCTTTAAACGCATTATTAGTTGATGAGCTTTACTGCGTTGTCAAAATCAATGTAAAAATAAAGTTGAGTTCTCTTGAGAAAGAATGCTTAACGTTTAGCATACAGTATCTAGTAACTCTGATTCAAAAATTTCACTTTCCGAACCTGTACTTTTCTTTTCGATATGTAGACATCAATGAATGTGCCAGTAACCCATGCATCAACGGCGGAACATGTCACAATTGGATTAACAGATATACTTGTTCTTGTCAACCTGGTTATTAACTTGAGTTACAAGAAACGAGGGTGCCGTTTGCTATTTACCATCATTCAAAACATATTTAGATATGCAAGAAAAGGCAACTATGTTTATGCTACTGGCATTTCAAGAATATATATATATATATATATATATATATATATATATATATATATATATATATATATATATATATATATATATATATATATATATATATATATATATATATATAATCTACGGATAATAAAACTGCTATTGATTCGGAGAAGTAAATAAAGCATTTTGATTTTCAAATCATCGATCCTGGAATGAATAATGAAATATGAAATATTATTTATAAAGTTATATCTCTCAGTTCATTCGATATGCAAGAGAGTATGAATAATGTCTGGAACAAGGTAAGTTATTCACAAACAAGTTGATAAAACAAGAATATTAACAATCTCCTTTAAAGTCATCATTTCGTAAGATATATGGTCGATACAATAACCTTGTCAGTAAACACAATCTCTCAGAAAGTCAAATGCAGACTAATGATTATCATACTAATTGTTAATCCATTGTTTACACATTGATTTTTTGGACGAATTTCTCCGTCATTTTCGATCCTGACAAAGAGCACAAGGCGATTGTAACCGGTTGGCAGGGGATGCTCACTTCTTCATAGCACCTTATCCCACCTCTGATGTTTTAAAGGTCCGTGTTTATGATTCGTGGTATTAAGGGATTTTTTGTACAGATGTGTTACCTATAATTCTCATGCAAGTCTAATCGAATCTGCTCTTGTAAAATATTGTGGATTCAGTTCAGTTTACAGCTTGGTAGAAGTATCACAAAATGACCCAGAATAGGCCTAAGTCTACTATATTCCCCCCAAAAATTTGATAAATTGAAACATACGAATTATGTAAGAACAAGGTGTAATCAAACAGTGATTTTTTTTGTTTCCATTCTATTTTTTAGATAAGGACGAATGTGCCAGTAACCCATGTATGCATGGAGGAACGTGTTACAATTTAATTGATAAATTCACATGCTCGTGCCATGATGGGTATCAAGGACTACGATGTGAACATGGTAAATGTAGTATCTACATGTACGCTTCATTTCATAAAGATAAATTATAGAATGAATTGGGTACACCCATTAAGTTTATTAAATTTCATAATTAGATTTTGAAGTTTTTTGACAGGTACTGTATTTTATCACAAAATATGTAATAAACATTACATAACATACCCCTTTCCTCATCACAACCTGTATCAGCCCTCGATCAATATCAGTCAGAGGGCCGGAGGCTGGCTGATACGGGATGTGATGTGGAAAAGGGTATGTGTTATTCTCTATATAATTATGATGAAATGTTTGGAAATGTATTTTCATTATGTGCTAATTTGGTTAGAAAATTCTTTTCATCATCTCTTTTGTTTGATTTCATTTATGACCTTTAACACATTTATTTCGATATGAGGAAGTTCCATATATACAATACAATCTGAAACACAAAGAAATCACACAACAAAATATTGACTCGGTACTTGAATAATTCCTTAAAAGCAATACATGTACTACTAAAAGAAATACTAGAAATACAGAATGATGCTGAAGGCCAGAAAGATAGATTATAATATCAAATACATGTAGGAAAATTAATATATATGTGTTCCAATAAAACTTAGAACTCTGTCACTTTGCTGCAGGAATTTTACAATATAAGAGTTTACTGTTAGAGTATTTGATTTCTTCTAGAAATAGACGAGTGTGCAAGTAACCCATGTAACAATGGCGGAACATGTCACGACCTAGTTAACAAATTCAATTGTTCCTGTATAGAGGGGTATTACGGATCACGCTGCGAACTTGGTAAAAATTTTATATTGTTAATTCATGTAACCTTCAAAATTAAGAACGAACATGGTAAAAGTTTTATACTGTTAATTCAATTAACCTTCAAAATTAAGGACCGTCTCTCCTTTGAAAGCCTTTTACAGAAATAAACACTAGTATTACAGAATGTGCATTTTTAAAAAAGTTTATATGGGGGTACTAGCAAAGCTGCTTTGTGGAAATCTGTTAATTAATGCTTTTACTCTATACAAAGTCGGATGAGATATATTTATCATTCAATTTCTTTGCTCCATTTTTACATGTTTAAAGACACTCCATAAAAGGTCCGTGGGTGTTATTGTTCAGGGCTTTCGGCATTGTTTTTCCTCATTAAATTTATTCAACCTAATTTGCTAATACAACAATAGAAAAAAAATTAATGATTGTTGTAGGATTAATATATTAGTAAAATAGGACTTAAGTTTATAGTTTATTCTTGTTTCTGTTTACCAACATGGGGTTACATTTTGTGTTTTGTTACACAAATATTTTACTTAAACATTTCCTAAGATGCGTTTTACAGATCATGTCGCTTTCATTGATAATTTACCGAACACTTAAATTTGTAGAATAATAGTTTAGTTTTGGGGATCCATTTAGTTCCTTTAATTTGAATTACCATACCTATTATACTGGATTCCAAAACTCAATAAAGTCCTTGCAAACATCGAAACATAGCGTTTTCCAGTAAAAGTTCAAGCCTCACTGAAATATTTACAGCAATAAAGAAGAAACGTCAACAGTTTTGTACAATAGTATATTTTTTTTTATTTTAGAAGTGGAGTAAAATGTGGATGCTAAAAATCTCAAACGAACTTTTACAAAATTTGAAATTACAAACTTTTACCAAAATTAATATTAAACTTACCATTAAAAAATCATATAAGTATTCCCTTACGGTAAATTAGAGTCTAAAATTTTTGACATCATCGACCGCTACATTTTTAAAAAATGGAACTTGCAAGTAAATTTGCCTTGTTTTTTGGTCTTTTGCAAAAATAATTTATTAGAAAACATTCATTTTGTACATACAAGTACTGTAAATAAAATTGATATTTACAAGAAGTTTTAAGGATGACGTTTACTCAGGTTTCAGAAAACGGAAAGGAAATTTTAATAAGTATAATATGTTAAATCAAAAATTGTTCTAAATCGATAAAATAAGCAAGTTTTAAATCAAAATCAACCTAAAAATTTAATATTTTATTATTTAAAGTACAGGATCAAAAGTCAATATATGGTAATGCATAGGAAATTCGGACTAAATTTTTAATTTTTCATTTTTGTCAAAAATTTTTATTTCTTGCACTGTAAACCACAAAGTTAAGATTACATGTATTTTTAAACATCAATTTGCAAATAGTATACGTGTTAAAGCTTATAGATTATTTCAAATAATTGAATGCTATGAAATAAAGAAATTCAAAAGTATGTACAAAAACCATTCCAGACAATATATCTCAATAATTTGATCATTGACCCCATATTATATTAATACCATGAGGATTAGGGCAACAAAAGTAAGCTAAGGCTATAAATAATTTAGAGTTCTTATCAGTCAGATTTTTGTAATGCTCGATTAAAAATGGGGAAAAAATATAAATATGACAGAGGAAATTCGGACTATAATAATTATCACATTTATGGCCAAAACTCTAATCGTTTCTTTATATGAAGCAACGCTGTTCCATTGCTATAATATTTCATTATTTAAAGAGTTTTGTTGCTTGTAATATTTTGTGTGTGAAGAAAAAATTGCTCATAGTGTAAAAAATTGAGGTATTTCCCGAGTAATACTCAGGGGCCACTAGCATGAAAACTAGGTCATTGACCTAGTTATTTGAAATTGAAATTTAACACAAGAATCATAGGTGTATAATGTGCAATAGGTGGTTTTTCGTCCTTATCAGTGGAATTTTTGGTCATCTGAGTATAAAGGTATACCTTAATTTCTGATCGTTGATATTTTTTGGAGATCAAGTCTTCAACAATCTGTTGGAATTCCCGTTGGTACAAGTTTCAGCTTGATTGAAGCAGACATATTTCAATTAACTCTAGTAACTTTTAGTCATATGTCGACTGTTATGTCCCAGTAAACTCTAAATAAAAGACACCACAGAGTCTGACACATTTTGTTTTCATGTTTGGATATTTTAATAGAAAAAGACGTTCATGGTATTCCGACCAAAAAGCTTTATGATAAACGTGATGACTTCAACTTTTTTAAACTTACCTTATCCCTATCACCAGCATACGGAGTAAATGTCATTCAGTTGATTCGATAAACAATAAGAGTGTGCTTGAAGTATGAACAATTTCTAACACAAAGAAAGCTATTTAAAAACAAATTGATGAAAAAATGAATCTCGACAGTCTCTTGCAGTCATAATTTCAAAGATTTTTTGATCGATACAATGACCTTGTCATTAAATGCAGCTAATCATAAAAGGAAATGCTACATGATGGCTTTCATACTTATTTTTAGGCCTTGTTTATTTATACACTAATTTTTCTACAAATTTCTTCTTTCTTTTGTTAAGGTTAAGATCTAGTAAATGACTTTAGTCTGCTTTGTTGTACTAGATCCATTATGGCGTCATAATCAATTTCAATTTTCTTTTAACCGTACCTTACGGCTTTAGCAGAACTATGTAGGGTATTTTCATGGCATTCAATTTGAAATCATATGAAAAGTAATTCCGATACCTATATTAAATTTGATATCATTGTAAAGAAGAGGTCATGAACATACAAATTACCCGTTTTCTGAGAAAGGTAGGCAATCTGGATACATTTCCTTTGTCGAATATGAAAAAACTCCCATATTCATGACTGGTTTTCTTAATTTTTCATTGATAATGACTGTTCAAAATACCGGTATGATTTTTCATCTTGTTTATCTTCAAATTATGACCCGAAACACCTTATTTGACCAAGCTAACGTTATAAAGCAATTTGATAAATCTGTAGGCACCTTTCATTTACCAGACCTTGACCTTACGGAGAAAGTCTGAATTCAGTTCCTTCTCTTCATATTTCACTTTCATATATTAGCGTTCCATTACTAGATCATTACAAATAAAACAGCTCAATAAATGTGTGTAATTTCGAATATGTGATGCTTACAAACCGTAGGCACATCTGATCCAATCCGTTGATGGGATATAGGGGTGCAGAAGGCTATGCCTTGTCCTCAGGATTGTGTTGTCTGTAGTTATTTTTGATATATATATTTTACTGCTTAATTTTGAAAATCATATTTTTTTTCATTCTTTTAAATATTAATAATGGTTTCTTAAAGTAACTTTTTATTAACATGAGCGGTCTCCCAACATGTTACGATTTAAGAAACAACTCCACATGTTCGTGACTTGATGATATTTCACAATTGTAAACTCAAAACACTGCATTTTGATTTAAAATTTAACAGAATGTACAAGGCCCGATTTCTGCGACGAGTACAAATGCACCACAAAAGATGATTTCATCTGTATCATATATATATGGACAGGGCATAAATAATAAATACATTTATAAAAAATTTATTTCTGTCGGACCTAAAAAATTGTACAGGTTTGTAAAGAGTTACATAAGAAATGTAAATTGTATAATAATTATATTGATAATTTAATAAGTGTGTTTTGCGCTGATTAGTGGGGAAATGGTGGTTATAAATAATTCTATCTTTCCCTTCTCGTTCAAAATGGGAAAATAAATTAATTTTGTGTAATATTCCGATACCCGGGTTTCAAAGCCTGTCATATATATTCCATTTTAGATCAAAGTCCTCCTAAGTTTACAAACTGTCCTTCAGAGAGGGTACAGAAGTATGATTCAGGAAAAGGTTCCTATGTAAACTGGGAGCCAATACACGTTGAAGAATACATTGGAAACTTTTCCCTTTCAAGCAACGTCCAAAATGGTGCCTTCTTCTCTTTTGGAGATCATCCTGTTGTTTATAACGCAATTGATAATTCTGGGAACGCAAATAATTGTACTTTTACAGTAAGAGTAATAGAAATACAAGGTAAATTACCTGACACAAAAGTGGTAGTTTATGCTTTGTGTACACTGTAATTTATATGGATAGGTTTGAAAATATACCATTTTAAAGGTGTTTTACAGGACTTTGAGTTAAGCGACATCTTTATGCTTGCTCTTCTTTGGGGATTTTGAGTCCATTGATATTATTTACACATTGAATTGGCGACGGATTACCTTTGTACTTCCCGATCATTACCATGACAAAAAGCTTATGGTGGGTGTTTCTGGTTGGCAGGGGATGCTTACTACTCCATGGCACCTGATCACACCTCCAATGTATCCAATGTCCATGTTTGCTCTATTCTTATTTTCTGTTGTTTAATACCGGTAGCTTATATACTGCTCGTTATCTCCAAATATTTCAATGCCAACGTCAAGGGGGCAATGAAACGTTTGCATTGTTTGTTTACTATTTTGATTTTTTAAGTTCAATTCATTGAATTTTACTAATAGGAAGCTTCTTCATAACAACGTCAATCTTTATAACTTTACGCCTTATAAAAGTGTATGTATAAATATTTTCTTGAACATTTTTTGTTTTCACGGATTATTCGATTTGCTTACACTGCACACACTCTTGAAGTTATTGATTATGATAGTTTATATTTTTATAACATCAAAATTTTTCAGTTAAAGGCCACCAAAGCAACCAATTTAGCCAATTGATCTATTGATTTTAGAAGAAAATTTGCAATTTTCATGACCCCCCGCCCTTGGTTCTGAGGCATGGGGCTGATATCATCAGTAGCATTACAATCTTTTAACTCTTTTCTTTTACTCCTAGATATCAAGCAGTTAAACTATTGGCATAATTGTAAAAAAAAAAAGACCATTATCAAAATTGTGAAATTCATATTGCACGAACCTTGAATAAAGGATGTGATTTTATGATCATAGGTCTTTATTGAACCTATGTTGAAATGCGAAAATTCGTTAAAAAGCTTCTTATCTCTCCCTCGTATATTTAGCTAATAAAATCAGTGTATAATAAACTAAGTGTATGTAAATAATTAGCAAAGGCGGCGCGTCTTCCGAAATCGTAAAATGCATAGCCGGATTTTATTGATAATAGAGTTAAATGCAATATGCAAATAATTATTGAATTAAACTAAAAGTACTTTCATAGTTTTAATGATCAGGTAGACTCATAGAAATGAGACAGAAATTACTTATCCTATTACATGTTCTTTAAAGACCAACAGAGGCCAATATATGGGGTTGAAAACGTACAGAGCAAAGCTTCAGTTTATATGATACTCTTTGGACTCGCTGAATTGTTGCATTATATTCAGATAATGTTAAGGGTTTTGTTTCTCCTGTTTGAAAAAAAAAGCTGTGATATGATTAATATCTAATTTCAAGTTGGAAAGCTTTGAGTTTCAATCAGAAACAAAAAAAAAAATCGATAATGTTATTATTAATAAAAAATGATAATCATTACACTAGCTGTAAACTTTAGTTAGGAAGCAATGAAGAAAAAAACGACATACGTTTTATTTTTTAAGATAAAGCTTGCCCAGCTCCACCTGTTCCATTTCATGGATTTTTGGGATGCCAAAACAAGGGAGCTTTACAGTGTTCCATACATTCCTGTGATGAAGGGTATCTTTTGAAAAATAATGATTCACATACTTGTGAAAATGGATTTTGGAATCCGGAATTTCATAAAGATTTCATAGCCACGTCATGTATAAGTGAGTAATACAACTTTAAACTTTAAAAATCAAGAGCGAAGTTAATTATATACGAGCAATCTTACAAATACTTATTTTTCCTGTATCGATTTAGAGCCGGAGCCAACTTATCTAAGAAGAAATTACACATTCACGTTTAACTGTACACATCTCAGTTTAAATGCATCAGAATTAAGAGACTGTATTAATCAGTCCGGACTCTGTTCCGCAGGAGACATCTTACTTTGCGATTGGCCTTTCCAAAGGATAGAGGGGCAACAACTCTCGTCCAAGATATTGCAGATATGGATGATTATGGAAGGAAAATTGTCGTAATAATTATCCTACACTGCTTATTTTATTAACTCGGGAATAAAGAGGGATTTATATCACAAAAAATAATAAAGTTTAAAATTTATAAGTCAATCAATTCTCGTTCCAGACTTTACTTAAGTATATATTTTTATGTTTATTTATGCAATCTCGATAATAGAATCATATAGTTTTCAGCACAAATAATTTTAGGTTTGATACAAACAAACAACTTTTGATGCAACAGATGGATGATCACGGACAAAAGATATCTGATCTTTTCCAAACGGGCAGGTTTCTCAGTACCTGCTCAAATTTAACATGCGACTTTGGAGAAATGTCAGCTGGACAAATATATGAAGTTTGTGCTGTAGGATCTACATTCTATCAGGTTAATGGACACCTAGTCTGTGGTATGCTTTTGCAGATATGAATCCTAGACAAGATTAAACACATAATTATAGTCTCCTTTGAAAACAGAAATTGCTTATATTTCTGTATTTCTGCTTGTGTAATTCGGATAATATAATATACCGGGGTATATGAATAAGCAAATGCAGAGATAAAATTCCATTATATTTGTAAACATCTTGTTTTTAATGCAAAGAAAATGTATTGACTACATACTGTTCACATTATTTAATATGTTTCTAAATAGATTATTTTAAATCTTTGTACAACTCAAGGAAAGGAACTCTGTTAAAATAATGCCTTTTTATTGTTACAAACTAACAAAGCTAAGTGTGGACCAGGTTGGATTTACGCCGAGAATTCCTGCATTCAGTGTCCTGAAGGGTTCTACCAAGATAGATCAGGTCAACAGGACTGTAAAAAATGTCCAGATGAAAGAACTTCCACTATCGGAGCATTTTCAATTTCTCAATGTAAGATTTGTAAAAATTAAGTAATCAAATATGCCATTGTGGTCTTTCTACAAAATAATAAAAGTGTTCATATCTTAGGCCTTGCGGGACAAGAGTCAAGAGAATTATCATCTCCCTTTGACACTGCAACAGTAGTCGGTGGAGCTGTCGGTGGATTGTTCGTATTGGTGCTGCTTTTAATTATTCTGGTTGCCATGATACAGCGGAGGAAACCATCTTTAAAATCTCTTAAAAGTGCAAATAAATCCCATTATCCAAATCCAGTCTATGAGGAGTCGGAGAAAAAGTCATCACTTGACTCCTGACTGCATTGGCAGAGAAATGTTAGGTTGGTTAATCTCAGAAACCAGAAGAATGTGCATCTTATCTACAATCTATCAAGATAATACCAAATTATCGTAAATGAAAAAAGAGCCGAGTGTGAAGAATGTTCTTAATAGTTTTTTTCGCAGTCTGTTAAATGAAAATGTAAAGAATTTTAAATAGTACATATTTACAAATATGTCTCAAATTTTATCATGAATGTGTACATTTTACAGGTTCAACAGATGGATATATGTACACGGATTCTTTAAGTCAATTGTAATCAAAAAAAAGATATTTGTTTGATTGAAACTTCAAATCTTATACTAAGAAATCAATGATTGCAGATTTTTTTAAAAGTCAAACAAAGATGATGCATTATTTATTTATACGTAGAAGTGATCATTTCTGACATTTTCCTAACTATTTTGTAAACATAATTTCTATATGTTTCTGAATGACTTACCATGCGCTAAAACTGACATGTTGGGAGATTTTTTTTTCTAAAAAAACCATGAAATCCTTTTTTAAACCACCATGTCTGCGTAACGCATTTATCCCTAAATAAGGTATACTTTCTTGAGAAAAATATTTTTAATAAATAAATGCTTTTGTCATTTAATAAAAGCATAGTCAAAATTATGGTGGGTGAGGGAAAATTTTGAATGATCGAATACATTCAACAAATGAAATGTAACAATAAAATCTATAAGCATGTTTATGTGAAAAATCCGAATTCGGATGTCAACCAAGTTTTTCATTTTCTTTCAAAACCATTTATATATTTTTTTCTTTTTTCGTGATGGATAAATTTCAAAGAAATTAACCAATAAAATATTGAATACAACTATTTCTATTTTTTTCTCTCTCCGTTTAATTTGAAAATTATTTTTAAGCTTTCGTTTATCCAAACAAGTCTACTTAAACATTTGTCCTTCTATGATAAGTAAGTGCAAAAAATATTACATGTAGTTAGTTTTATGCATTTTGACTTTCAGTAAAAGATATTCTCTGAGATGAAAATACTTAATATGTTCGAATTAATAAGGATAGTCCTTCTGTTTCTTTAATATTTAAGTTCTAAAAATGGATTAGAAATTCTCTTCGTAAAAATTCAGAGTGAAATTTGAGTATCTAAATGAAACTTTTTGCAGCTGACATTATTATTTTATAAAAAGAGTATTTTTGAACACTTTAATTGGTACACTTACTTCCGCTCCAACAATTCTCGACGTACGGATGTAAACAATGTAAAGCATGGTGTGCCATACCGTTCCGACTAAATTGACAAAAAATTAAACATATAAATTTTACTCCAATTTTTGCATGCAATGATGCGTGTATCATTATGGAATACTACAGTAACTTTGACCCAAAATAAAAACATAATTTGCAAGCTATTTGTTGTAAGTAAGGCTACCATGATTACTTCCGATTCACATTGAAAACTGACTCCGACCCACTCTTTGAAGTCTGTTCTTAAAATAAAAAAAAATATTTAAAAAAATCCATTTGTATCTTTTATCTCAAGCTCACTCGGATATATTGAGTTAATTAACAACACATCGACAATGTATCTTAATGTCAAATTGAAAGCCAATTGAAAGAAATTAAGTATATATGATAATTCCAACAGATTGTTGGATATTGTTAATCAGAAACACAAGCATCTTTTAACGTCAACTTCAGAGTACGTATGTGTCCAATCAGAATGTTTTTAAGAAAATAAATGACCAATTAACGAGTTTCGTGTTTATTGAAAAAGCAACTGTTGATTATGTCAAAAAGCCTGAAGTTCAATTTATGATTGGGAATGATTAACGAAGTGAAAAGGTAAATTATTTTGATGCTATTGATTCGGTAAAATTTTGATTTCAAATTTTCTAAAAGTTACTTAGACTTTTTAGAATCCACATCTGATTTATACCACTTCTCGGATACACTTATATACAATACTGAAATTTATCTTTCGCTGCTGTAAATATTTAAGTGAGGACTTAAGAAAGAGGCTTGGTAGGGCGTTTACTTAAAACCCGCTATATATAGGATCTCCCATGGTTTGTGGTTTGATATGATTTTTATCCAACGAGTTGGGTGTTTTCTATCCCCGAGCCTTGGCGAGGGGATAGAAAACACACAACGAGTTGGATAAAAATCATATCAAACCACAAACCATGGGAGATTCTTTTTATCACATATTTTTATTCACTTTAAATGTCTTTATAACTAATTCAAAGTTCTTTCGGTTACCTCGGACCGAATAACGTAATAAATATTATTACGTTGTATGAAATAGTTCGTACAAAAATTATAGAAAGAAAGTATTTTAGAACATATTTTTTAAATTCACGAATGAAAATTTGTTAAAATATATCAAATAAAGGAAAATTTGACAAATTAAGTCATTCTCTCCATCATGCACATGTATTTGTTTATTTACATTACGTCACGCGGCGTAGGAATACATAGTGTTGATACGAAAACGATATCACATGACCTATATCAACGGGATAAGGGGGAAAATATGTGATAAGTATCTTTATAGACGTTTGAATATCCACTTATTAATTTGGTCCCTTTAAACCCCAAGCCACATTTGTGTCCCCAGTCTCTCCACGGTGATTTGAACTTCAATCTGCACAATCTTCCATGTTTAAATTTGACTTATCTTGCCCAGATGCTCTTGTAAAACATTTTGACAGATTTCCCTCTATGTATTCTTTATTAAAGTTGGATTCCAAATTCGGACACTGTCCTCTCTCCAGAGACAATAATTTGATAAAAATTTCAATCTTTACTACCAAAAGATGTTACCATGTCAGTATGATCGAGCATGAGAAAAGATTTTGATCACTTTTGGTGTACTCAGTATTTTCTCATATAAAATGAGATCTCCAAAATTAATATAGTCTTGCATTACCCCGTGGAGACTTTAATCTGCACTTATTGAAAATATTGTGACATTAAAATGACCATCATCAACCTATTAATTTTGAGGAAAAAGATGGGATTGTTTTCTACATTTGTACTGCTAAACTTTGCTTCCTTGTTATGACTCCATCCTAGCTCTAGGACATCATCTGAAGAAACTTTAAACTGTAACTGTTAATGCGTACATACAATTATGGCTCTGATACCGAAAAAAGCTTACTCTTGCAGTTCACAGATGAAATTATAATGCATTTCACAAGGTTCATCTGCCCATAGTCCATGAAATGGTCGCCAAAGGGCGACACAATTTCCTCTCAGTGATCGTTACCTTGACTAGCGTTAAATTGTTGACTTGGATTGGCTGTAGATAAGAAGAGTAGATTCACCAGTCTCCCTCGATGTCATCAAATATTCCAATCCAAAAAGGACCTTTGGGGGTCAAGTATAGTATACGGATATAAACTTCCTTATATTGATTCACTTATATTGAAATAGAAGTGAATAGTCTTCTTAATTGAAATAGTAAACATTGGTAACTTAGGCTATATTAAAAGAACTTTGATTTCTTTTAATATGTAGTTTTACTTACTTCTCTGATGTATAAATGTCAACTTTTTAAATAACTTTTCTAAACACTTCAAAGAATCTTGAATCACATTGAGAGGCATAAAATGAAAATTGTTGCTTGAAAAGATTTCCATTTCCAGTTTTATTTTGAGACTTTTAAAATAAAATTATAAATTAAAGAGTTATCCTTCCTGGCTGAGGATTGGGAATGCACGATTTTATTTTCAGTATTCCTTTAGAGTACTGGTAAATCACATTTTAATTTCATACTTTCAACATTCAGTCAACCAAAGTGAGTGCGACCTAACCTACCTAAAATGGATTTCACAGAACATAAAAATCTAAAAAACAAAAAAACAAAACAAAAAAAAAAACAAAACAAAAAAAACAAACAAACAAAGAAGCAAAGGTGGATAGCCATATCTAGCATATGTTCTACTAAGCCCTATCTTTATTCCCTACATTAATTAATTGATTCTTTTCAAAAGCCTCTAGATAACTTTATTTACCGTGCTTTCTATAAGTAGTGTAAAAAAAGAAATAAAAAATCCCTTTTGTAGTTATATGAGATCGATTGCAATTGTTATCTACATATTTTTTAGCTCACCTGAGCTTTTCTGATCACTCTTTGTCCGTCGTCCGCCCGTTTATCCGTCTGTAAACGTTTCACATTTTGAACTTCTTCTAATGAACCCCTTGGGCAGTTTAAACCAAACATGATACACAGCATCTTTGTGTAAAGGGATGCTTGAGAATCGTTAAATTGAAGAACCAAGTCTCCGTTACATGTACAAGAGGAGATAAACAAGAACGACAAAAATTGGATGGGAATATTAAACAATCTTCTCAAGAATCATTGTGTCAGAAAGGCTGAAACTTATGTGGAAGTATCCTAGGGAAGTGTAGATTCTAAATTGTTAAAATCATGACCCCGGGGCTAGGACTGGGTCACAAGAGAGAATCCAAGTGTTACATTAAAATATATAGGAATATTCTTCAAAAAACTTCTTCTCAAGAACCGTTTTGTACATACAAATAATTTATGAAATGTATTCAGGAAGAGAGAGACAAACTAGACGAATATGTCACAACCTCTCTGGGTAGAATGAGGTCACATTATTGTGGCAATTTTTTTTATGTGTGAATAAAAGCGAAATTATTCTTTAGGACAAAAGGGCCAATATGACGTAAGTTGGCCTCTTGTTCACATATCTTCCTGTTAGCTTTCATAGTAAATATACCTGAGGACTACTGGAAAAGAAGCATTCCGGTTCATTACCACAATGTGGCTTTTAGTGATTTTCCCTCTTTTAACTGGTGCACTCGGAATGAGTGGAGACTGCGAAAACGCAACATTATGCGACCATTTACCGTGGTCAGAGTGGAGTGCGTGCAGTCAGACTTGTGGGGGAGGGTACCAAATCAGGAAGCGGAAAATTTGTGGACTGGAAAGGTGGGATGAAGAAGCTTTAAAAGAATACTGCGGAAATCCACTTCGGATAGATATCAAAATTTGTAATATGGATTGTCTGAATAATGGTTCATTTGTTAACGGAAATTGTATATGCACTCCCAGGTCCGGAAAAACTGGTAGATGCTGTGAAAAAGGTTAGACAACACAGCTCCACGTGTTCATGTTATAATAACTGGAATTATTCGGACTATCTGATTAAATTGGAAGGAAATAAAACTGGAAATTCTGACACATCTATATAGGTGTTTTACTTGAAAAGATATGATGGCATGCCAAAAAGAATTTGCATTATATGACCTCAAATTCACTACCCCTATCTGCCTTTATTTTATTAACGCTTTACACTACAATCATCTGCAACTGGAATTTATGTCTTCCAGACGATTGAATACACAGGAGCACTGATAAATATGACTTTAAATAAGTTGATGATACAAGTTTGTAAGTAATCCAGCCTGAATTCGGCATTTCGCAAATTATATAATCGTAATAAAGACAATGTTTTGAAAAAGAATATATCAGAAAGCCATCTTATAAATTGACAGGGCTTTCATATAAAATCTTAGGTCAATATTTACAAATTGTTTCGTTGACCCAAGATGACAAAAAGAATAAGGTTGGTGTACCAGTAAAAGAGATGTTCCTTACTTCTCTCAAAATTCCGTTCTTTTGCAAGACAACTTTTCACTTGCAATAACATTTTCCCATCATTTTAACGTCTAGCACCGTAGTAACCGAGGTCCCGTGTAAGACAACAATAAAACAATACAAAACAGGAGCAGAGCAAACACGGACCTTCAAAACATCAGAGGTGGGATCAGGTGCCATGGAGGAGTGAGCATTCCCTGCCGACCGGTCACACTCACCGTTTGCTCCTTGTCATGATCGGGAAATAACGGAAAAATTCGTCGTCAATTCATAATATAAATAATGGACTAACAATAAGTATGAAAAACGTCAGTCAGCATTTGACTCAATGATAAATTATATTTGCTGACAAAGTCATTGTATCGACCATAGAACTGACGAAATGATAACTTTATAAGAAACTGCTGATATTCTTATTACATCAACTAGAGTTTATATATCTCTACGTATGAACAATTTCTTAAACGAGGTAAATTATTGAAAAACGTGTTGTTGAAACAAGAATTTCAGCAGTCTCGTTTAAAGTCATCATTTCGTCAGTTCTATGGTCAATACAATGACCTTGTCAGCATATACACTTTACGAGGGCTGTTCAATAGATAATGTCCTGAAATCTATGACATAGAACATTGATATTATATTAAGCATGACTTCCTTTCATGATTGAATCTTTAATGAATTGATATCAGTTCATGTGACCACTTTTCCTCTATAGTTTCATTGTGAGAAGCTGAAAAACAAGGCTATTCGAGACACTGCTTTAAAAGTGAATGATAAAGAAACAGTAAACTAGAGTGAATTCAACGCTTCATTAAAGCTGCTATAAAACTTGATAAGAATCCCAAAGAAATATTCACTGAAATTTGTGAAATTTACAGCAACCAATGCCTGTTTTATAAACACATGAGCAGGTTGATTTCAATGAACAATACTGATATAGTGGACATCAAAAATGGCGACAAGGACATAAAACAACCAATGTTCTGTTTGCCAAAATTGAACAAATTATCATTTATGATGTTTGGTTGACTTTAAAACACATAGCAAATTAACAAATTTAATAGGCATCAATTTGTGGGTAGTTCAAACTATTTTAAAGAAACATTCGACAGTAAAAAAGCTTAGTACTTAATGATCACCCTATGTTTGAGGAAAATGAGTGACAGCGACATCATGTGAGAATATCTAAACAATATCTTTAAAAATCAGAAATTTATGTTATCCTCATTTGTCTGAAATTCAAACAGAAATTGAAACTTTTGCTTTATTTCCATTGCTTTATTTCCCTCAAAATATATTACAATAAGAAGCACTTGACAAAAACAGCAAAGGTCTGAAAAAAGCAAAGAATTACATGAGGACAAAGACAGTTTTTTTTATGCCATTTCTTTAAAAAAAATATTAGTGGTCTTGTTGTTCAAATTCTTATTCGGGAAGACAGTTCAATTTCTGGAGGGGTCTAGAAAGCAATTTTTTTTGCCAAAATATTTAAAGGTTTTTGAGAGGAAGGAACTAGAATTAGGAATCCACTACTTTAAATTTCTTCATGACAGCGTCCAAACCACGAAAAGACGAAGAGTAATGGAGTTTTGGGGATAAAGAAAGGTTAGATTTTGTCACACTATATTTTGTCGCCATATTTATTACCCTTTCACTTGGTTCATTTTCCAAACTTGAAAAAAAAAACACCTTTCAGAAAGAAGAAACAATTCCAGGAAATCATACGATCTGCCATAATCCAGTGTAGGAAAGTGGCATACTTAAAAATGAGTTCTAAAAACAATCAGAAATAAGATTAAAATGTTACGGAGATGTGTTTTAATTCAAAAAAAGAATATTTAAGTTAACTCATAAAGACAAAATTATTGAAAAGCGTCTTTTGCTTCTGTCCGAGCACCGAGGACATTTAGTGAACAGCCCTCGTACTTACTCCTCCATGATACCTGATCCCACTTCTGATGGTTTGGAGGTCCGTGTTTGCTCTGCTCTTATTTTGTATTGTCTTATCGACTTTTTATCTTGAGTACTGTTCGTTATCTCCAGATTTCTCATGATGTTGAATTTGAAAGATTGACATGTGTGCAGTTCAAAAAAAATTTCTGTTTTGAAAGTTGTTTTAGCCGAACATGTCATTTGACGTCAAGTGCTTTTCCAACATAAAACAATTGGAATGCTCCCTGAAGATTTAGCATGAAAAGTAAAAAAGGAAATATCAGGACATGTAAGCTAAAACTTTATTAAGAATATATCTCTTGGAGTCTTGTGAAGAGGCTTACTATTACAAGCGACAACTAACTTCTACAATTTAAACAGCTATCTATTCCAATTACTAGATGTAAAAGTCAGCTGTCGAATGTAAAAGTAAGTCTCTTCATAAAACTCCAATAAAAACAGCAATACCATTATTCTGACCAAAAAATTGTTATAACTTTTTATTGTCTATATTCTATCAAAACCTATTTAAATTTTTTGAAAACGTGTGAACGATACTGTATCTATTTACTTTAGTTGTATTAAAGGTTATATTTTTTGTTAATGTTTTTTTTTGTACAGTTACTTTGATTGTGTTATTTTTTTTTTATTACTGATTGATTTTTAGAGCTGTTTTTACTGCATTTTTTTCGAAATTGTTTCCAGAGCAATTATTATTTAGAAAAAATTGCATTGTAGATCTTTTGTCTCTTGAGAATTTAATGACATCAAAAGAGATAGCATCAACATTTTTAAGAAACAGAGCTCCGCGAACTAAGCGTGATATTTACGAGGAATGCGAGGAATCGGGTTCCTGTGACTACGAAGAAGTAAGAGAATGGATTGAAGATATACATGACAGAAGGGGCGTGGTGAGTTTTGTTTGAACCAGTCAAGTGAAATTATACTCCGTTTAATTCAATTTATGCAAATTGTCCCGGGAAAACATCATCCTTTCAAAAGTAAATGATGTCAAATATTTTAAACAACAGTTTGATTTGTTTCTTGTACAAAACTTCTCCATATAAGTGTGAGTCTCAATAAGTTAATATTATAAAAAGCAGACAAAAACACAGCTGATATTTTCAAATTAACTTGAACAATTTTGTATGAATACTCTACTAGTGTGAGTGGATGAAAGACAAGAGGTGTGCAGAGAGAGGTTGTAGAGCAGGATATACTTGTGTTACCATAGTCCAAAACTGTTATCATCTTAGTTCTTATGAAGTTGGATGTCAAGGTATGTATACTATTTTCATAATGTCAATTCCTTTAAACGCATTATTAGTTGATGAGTTTTACTGCGTTGTCAAATGTAATAAACGTATTACACACAAAAACAATTTAAAAACAATTTATTCTCTGAACAGGGTCTCTCTCTCTCTCTCTCTCTCTCTCTCTCTCTCTCTCTCTCTCTCTTCAGAAAGAATATTTAACGTTCAGCATATCTAGTAACTCTGAGTCAAAAATTTCGCTTTCCGGAAAAGACAAAATGATTTCTCGCAAAATTTCGTGACTTTTTTTTCATTTATATTATATTTTTTCGATATGTAGATATCAATGAATGTGCCAGTAACCCATGCATCAATGGAGGAACATGTCACAATTTGATAAACAGATATACCTGTTCTTGTTCACCTGGTTATTATGGAACGCACGGTGAATACGGTAAAAACAATCTACATGTACTGTGTTTTTATGTCTTTTTTATCAACTAAAGTTGCAAGAAAACAAGGGTGTTGCTAGATCTCTGCCTTAATCCATAATATAAATAAATATATAAAATTTTACTTTCACTTTCCGTACTTGTACTTTCCTTTCCGATATGTAGATATCAATGAATGTGCCAGTTATCCATGTATCAACGGAGGAACATGTCACAATTTGATTAACAGATATATATGTTCTTGTCAACCTGGTTATTATGGGACACGCTGTGAACACGGTACGAAATTCGTTTTATTTCTGTTGTCAGATACTGTAAATTCCTAAATATACGCGTGGAATTAGTTATCGCGAGAAGCACCACCCGCGAAATAAAATTACTCGCTTTTATTTTTATGGTGCTACAAACAATGTAAAATCCTTTAATGAACGATCCATTCGCGAATTATTATTCTCGCGAATTGACGTTGAAGAGGCTTTTCGCGATAAAAAGTATTCGCGAAAAATAAAGAATCTACAGAATGATAACTTTACAGAGCAGGTCTTTCAAAAGGAAACATACTTAATATCAGGTATACTAACGATGTCTAATTTTATTTTCATTACTTTCCACAAAATTGCTGTAAAAATGCACAAGATTGCGAGATGACCAATGCTCAACAATATGCGTTCAATATATAGTAAACACATTTCCCTTGACTTATATTTATCATTTTAATGGAATAACTTACAAATAATGATGATAATTCCAATAATTTATACCCAAATCAAAATTCCGCAACATCAACTTCTGACCGGTTACTATTCAATTTTAATTTGCTTATTGAAGACCGTGAGGCTAAAACGAAGAAAATTTTTAATAAATAATTTAACCAATTTTTGTTAATTTGTGTGAAAATAGACATCATTTAACTAGCTTCTATTTTTGGAAACGCAAAAGTCTATATACTCTTTTTTATTGTCTTATCAACATAAAATCTATTATGACATCTTATTTTCATATTTTCAGTTATATCTCGCATTGTATTTGATCATTTTTACATTAGTTAAAGCGTCTTCTCTGTTTGGTGGATTTTGTTGCTAAAAGTTATATTGACTTAAAAATATATATATATTGACTTGAAAAATGTATTAACTAAGTATCTTTTACCTATTTTCCTACATGACTGTAGATATCAATGTGTGTAAACATAGTCCATGTATGCACGGAGGTGTATGTCACAATTTGATAAACAGATATACTTGTTCTTGCCAACCTGGGTACCGTGGAAAACACTGTCAATATGGTAATTTTATTACAATCATACTATTCAATAAGTCAGAATAAAAAATAACAATGAATGTAATTATTGATTATTATGTCATATATTAATGCAAAAAAGATGAAAATGTGAAGATCAATCTGTACAACTGACAGTTGTATATACATTGTATACATGTACAACGGGATTTGGATCTCTAAAAACTTTTATAAACCACATGACAGTAATCAAAATACAAAATAATTTAGCAAACACTCATGATAAAAGATAATTAATTAACAAACAATGGGCTAACAAAATACTGGTAATGGGTTATTACAGCATAATTCAAGAGATTGGACAATTGAAAAGCCGATTTCCACAAAAGATTTAAAATTTTTATTTATATGTTAACAATATTAGGAATATTGTCCAACTCGTTAAGGTTTTTCCATCCGACAATTTTAATGGTTCAAAGTATAACAACTGCATTTATTTTCATTTTAATATGGTTTAATTTTACCAATTATTGCAAAAAGGTATAGGTTGCTATATTATTAAAGATGGGAGACATTTATAAACAGAATTATACATCAACATAAAAATCGAACATTTTTTGTAAACGGTTTATAAAAAATCATGTAAAAACTGGTTCAAATGCATAATTCAGAAGCTGAAAGTTCCAAAGTACTTGCTACAATTTTGAATTTTGAATATCAGGGAAACTATTTTACATTAAAAGTACAATAAAGAATGAAGATACCTTTGAAGGAGTTATTGCCCTTATTAACATATTTTTAAGAGTAGATATTTGATTAAATACCAAAAATATACATCTTTTAAATTATTTTACTAAATTATATTTATCATTACACCTATTGAAAAGCATTTTTCCAAAAGATATTGCTGTATTAGGCATAAATTTAAATTAATAACAGTTTTTGCAAAAACCTATGACATCATACGAGGATGGAAATATCTTAATACAAAATTTCCATAATTTTTCTCAACAAGTCGTGTATTGAATGTCTAATTTCTTGCAAATAATCAAGTTTTACCATACCGTTCAAAAATAATCATAACACTGTTACATTTCCCGAACATCCATTTATTTCGTGCTAAAAAAATCATGTTTATTTTTCTCCATACCTCAAATATACTTTCATATTCAAGGTCATTACCTATTACAAATATATATTCGTTTATTTGGCTTGTGAACTATTCTTCGTCTTTATGATTGGTATACTTAGTAATCAAACATAACATTTTGAGTTTATACATATTTTAAAAAAGTGGAGTAATTAAAAATGTAAAAAAAAAATGCAGAAAGATTTTTTCATATCTTACTAGCGATTTTTATTTTCTGTTTCGATTGAGTATAGAAAAATTGATTGATCGATTTAATATAATTTGTACAATTTTTTGTTAGGGAAACGATGTTTATTTCATTTTTTAACATGCAGATATCAATGAGTGTGCCAGTAACCCATGCTTACACGGAGGTTTATGTGACAATTTGATAAACAGATATGCTTGTTCTTGCCAACCCGGGCACCTTGGAACACGCTGTGAAGTTGGTAAATAGTTGAAATTTGCATAGTTTCTATCATTTTATCTTTAAAATATCTTTAAGGGACTTAAAAAAATAAGTAAATGCACAGCCTAGATAACCTGAATCGAAACATAATCCTAGACAGTGATTACATAACATACCAAAAATATGAATTCTTATCTTGTAAAATATTACTTTTTGTTACCAATTAACATATTGTGCTTGAACAATAAAGTTATATGTCATAAGGATTTTCTTTTTATTATTGAACATGTCTTTATCTGTCTATGCTTTTCAAAAAAGAAAACAATGTCTTCTCAGAAATAGCATAATATATTGGTTGAATTGTCAAAAAATGAATTGCATGATGATTTCTTTTTGTTTATTATTCTTTCCTTCCTATCCGCAAACAGCAAACTAAGACTGATAGGGGTAATAAAATTGTTTTGTCCATAAATAATTATCATCATAATTGAAATGTGATAGAAATTTATCATACTGATTTCTTTTTAGTAAAGAACTCTAATTATCTTATCTTCTTTCTACATTCTACGACCATTTCAACTTTTAGCCTGAGCCATTCACTTTACAAAATAACATAATACATGAAAAGAGAGTAATAATGAAATAGTTAGAAACGGAGTACTCAGCAAATACAATCTAATCATAAAGTCAGTTACATTAGATTGAATGCTAAATGTCATTTAATACTAGTTTTAGACCAGCATTTTCATGTAGATATGTCTATGTTTTTTTCCCCATTTCCCGATCATTACAAGAGGAACATGACGAGTGTGACTGGTCGACAAGGGATTGGCAGGACCACGTATCGAAATGCTTTACTCATGTTTTTTAAAAATTGTTTTCTTATGAAATGACTACAAGTGGTACAAACTCTACAAGTGGTAATTCAACAAAAACTCATAGTTCCATTTTAAGGAAGAAATTCTTTCAAATCATATGTCCGTTTTTAATATTGTCAATATCCCGAACAACCAAAATGATTTTGAACTAACATATACAAATTGGATCCTGAAACTTCATAAGAATCCTTACAAACAAAGACACATTGCGGGTTCCAATGAATTTTCAACCAAGCCTGTTTCTTTTCTCATCTCTAATATATTGACAGTAGTGAAGGAAAATCTTCAAGAGTACTGTGCAACAATATATTTCAAGAATCGGTGTTAATCAGATGTGGATACTAAAAAATTCCAAAGAACTTTTGGACGCTATGAAATCACAAACTAAAGCCCAGCCTTTTTTATATCATTGACAGTTGCTTTTTCAATAAAAAATGGAACTCGTAAATTTACTCACTCAAAAGTTGACATCAAAAAGATGCTTGAGTTTCTGATTGACAATATCTATGTGGTTTTTTGGAAACAAGGTCTTCCAACAATCTACTGGAATTCCCATGGGTACCAATTGCGCTCCGTTATTAACAGACCTGTTGTTGTATTCATTTAAAGCAGAATTTGTGCAAAATTTTATGCGTGAAAAGAAAAAAAAAACACTTGGTGTGGCCTTCAACTCGACTTGTAGATATATCGACACCTTATTGTCAATTTACAATTGTTATTTCCATTCCTATGTCAATACGATATATCCTGGTGAGCTTGAGATAAAAGATACAACAGATTCTGACACATCTGTTTCATACTTGGATGTTTTACTTTAAAAAGACATTAATGGTAATCTAACAAACAAGCTCTATGATAAACATAATGACTTTAACTTTTCTATCGTCAACTCCCTTACTTATGCACCAATATATCTTCAGCACCTGTATATGGCGTTAATATATCTCAGTTGATTCGATACGCAAGAACATGCTCTACGTATGAACAATTTTTTAAAAGAGGTAAATTATTGACAAACAAGTTGATGAAACAAGAATATCAGCAGTCTGGTTTAAAGTCATCATTTTGTAAGTTCTATGGTCAATAAAATGACCTTGTCAGCAAATACAATTTATCATTGAGTCAAATGCTGACTGACGTTTTCCATACTAATTGTTAGTCCATTATTTGTACACTTAATTGACGACGGATTTTTCCGTTTTTTCCGATCATAACAAGGAGAACACGGCGGGTCAGCAGGGGATGCTCACTCCTCCATGGCACCTGATCCCACCTCTGATGTTTTAGAAGTCCGTGTTTGCTCTGCTCCTATGTTGTTTTGTTAATGAACTATCTCCATATCCTTCATGAGTAGGATTTAAAAAAGTTACTATATTAATTTTTTTTTGTTCTTTTCAGATGTAACATACAACATCAAGTGTAACAAACAAGATTTAGATATTTTTTTCTTCAATATCACTGATTGTATTCAGCAAATGTTAATACAAACTAATTCATTTGAATGGAACATTGTCAGAAATTTTTTTTATCATTTTTCTTTTAGCATTTGGGATAATTCGATGTTTATCTTTATTTGTGTAATAGTTTTTTTCTTTTTTTAATTTCTTTTTATATGTAGATATTA